TTTTTTAGTTTTTTTTTTTTTTTTTTTCGTGTCCGGCAACGGACTGCAACCCTCAGTGTCGCGCCCGTACTGGACCGGGACCGACAACGGGATCGCAACCCTCGGCGCTGCGCCCGCCCCTTGCTCAGCCAGTGAGCGGGAACCGGTCTGTATGTGGGATCTGAACCCTCGGCGGGAGCGCCGCCGCGCTTCCCAAGCAGCGCACTGTAGCAGTGCGCCACCGGGCCGGCCCCCTATTTTTAGTTTTTTGAGGAACCTCCATACAGTTCTTCATAATGGCTTTACTAATTTACATTCTCACCAACAGTGTATACAAGTTGCCTTTTCTCCCTATCCTTGCCAGCATTTGGTTTTTTAAAAATCTTTTTGTTAATAGCCATTATAACTGGGGTGAGGTGGTATCTCAATGTGATTTTGATTTGTATTTCTCTGGTGCTTAGTGATTGCTGTGGATTGTTTGAATTGTGTCCCCCACAGTCCCTGTACTAGAAGCTTAATCCCCACTGTGACTGTTAAGAAGGTGGGAAACCCTATTATGGTATAATAAGGTTGAAAGGTGGGGCCTTGAAGAGGTGATTAGATTGTGAGAACCATGCCCTAGTAAATGGATTAATAAATTAATGGTTTAATGGTGGTCATGGTCGTGGTTCTGAGGGCTTTAAAAGGAGAGCACATGAAGAACTCTTTCTTTCTCTCTGTTCTATCATTCTTGCCGAGTGACATCCTGCATTGCTATAGAGTCACCTCACCAGATGTGTTCCCTGGGCTGTGTACTTCGCAGCCTCCGAAACTATAAGCAATACATTTTATTTCTATATAAATCACCCAGTTTCAGGTATTTTGTTATAAGCAACAGAAACAGACTATTACAGTGATGTGGAGCATTTTTTCACATGCTTGTTGGCATTTACATGTTGTAAGTTAAGAAATGTCTATTCAGGTCATTTGTCTATTTTTAATTGGACTATTTGGTGTTTTTGCTTAGGAGTTGTTGAAATCCTGTCATTTGTGGCAACATGGGTGAGCCTAGAAGACATTATGTTAAGTGAAATAAGCCAGGTACAGCAAGATAAACACTGCATGTTTTAACACTGATATGTGGAAGCTAAAAAAGTTGATCTTACAGAGAGTAGAATAGTAGTTACTATTGGCTGGAAAGAGTAGGGAGAAGAGGGAAAGAAGAGTTGGGTTAACAGATACAAAATTATAGCTGGATAGGAGGAATAAGTTCTAGTGTCCTACAGCACTGTAGGGTGACTATAGTTAACAATAATTTATTGTATATTTTTAGATAACTAGAAGAAAGGATATTGAATTTTCCCAACATTAAGAAACAATAAATGTTTGAGGTGATGGGTATGTTAATTACCCTGATTTGATCATTACATATTGTACACATGAATTGAAATATCACATCGTACCTCATAAATATATAGAATTATTATGTGTGTATAAAACATTAATAAAAATGTAAAAAAAAATTGCCATATTTGATATTGGTTCATGTCAAAGTTAATTGAGTAGACTTAATGCATATATGACTGTAACTTCAAACTACTATGATTTGGCTAGAACATTAGGTTGTCAGCTGTTAAGATAGCAACCACTTAATAAAAAATTTCCCCAAATCCACAGAAATAGAAGACATAGCAATACATACCTTTTAAGCTGGGCTATTATTTTAATTGTAAATGTCATTCTTTTACAAGCTCAACTTTGAACAAGAGTCAAATTTGACTTTCATTACATAGCCAATAGCTTTTAGGAGTGAAGAGCACTTTTTCCTGGAGGTGACTGAGTTTAGGCTGCTGTCTCTGCCCACTTTGCAAAAAGCCTCTGATTTACTGAACACATGCTATTTTCTAACCAGTAGGATACCTGTCCCCAAATAAAAGGTGAGATGTATTCATGGAAACCATAAAGATTCTTTTTGTTTAATTTTCTTAAATTGTATTCTTTGTGCTCAGTAGTAGTCTTCAAAACTATGCTTTTCGGCTCAGTCTTAAAAAGTGACAGTTGAAGAAATAAATCCATGTAGGGTGTTTAAGGAAACTGTCAATTTTAGGGTGTTCAAAGTCAGGAAAACGTGAAAGGACTGAGAGTACTGAAAAAGGCGTAAGTGTAAGCCTTCGGGTCTGTCATAGTCCATTAGTGTTGCTATAACAAAATACCTGAGACTGGGTAATTTATAAATAGCATAAATTAAATTTATTGTTCACGGTTTTGGATGCTGAGAAGATCAAGATCAAGGTGCTGACAGTTTTCTGTCTGGTGAGGGTCTGGTCTCTGCTTCCATTCTTTGCTGCCAAGATGGCACCTTGAAGGCTGCACCCTCACATGGTAGAAGGCAGAAGGGCAAGAGGCATAAGATGGCACTAATTCATTCATAAGGGCAGAGCCTTCATAATTTAATCACCCCCCAAAGGCCCCACCTCTTAATACTATGACATTGGGGTTAACTTTCAACACATGAATTTGGGGGGCATTCAGACCATAGCAGTCTCCAAGCTCATCTTTGTTCTGTCAAAGGAGGAAGTACGTTGTGCATTTCTTGGTTTTCTTTAGGAGGTTTTCTCCATGGAGGATTTATAAGGATTTCTCTAGCATTCTGAACTTTAAGCTCATCCATCTTTGCTTTGACCTTACAAAGCTGAAGTTCAAGTAGAATTGCTAAATTGAGTCTTTAATGTTTGTACGAGGTCTTAATATGTGAGTTTTGGTCAAATATGATATCCTTTCTTATTGGATTCAATCATTACAGATAAGTATTTTAGTTATTTATTTGCTCTTTTTATGTTTTTCTCAGGCTACAAAACTCATTATCATCATCGTCATCATCTTTATCTCACTGGAGGAGGGGGCAGATTTTGTGGGGAAAAAAAAAGTTTTGAGAATAGAACAGAGGTCAATAGGTGGAAAATATAGCTAAGTATAAGAAACTTTTAGCTTGTTGTAAGAAAGAGTGTTCTAAAAGAGTTGTACAAAGGTAGACTGAGCTGTCTTCAATAAAATTAGTTAAGCTCTTTGATCCTCAATTTTATTTTCTTTGAAATGAGAATAATATATAATACACTTACCCCACAGAGTTCTTGTGATGCTTAAAAGGGTTAACCCAAAAAAGTACTTGACCTAGATCTGGCAAATATATATGTTCAAAAAACATTTGTTGA